CCTGGGCCTGGGGCTGCTGTGGACAGCGCTGCCCCTCGGCCCGGGGGGAGTGGTCGGGCTGGGTTGTCCCCCCCGAGGTCTCGCTGCCATGAGGGTAAGGGCCTGTCTGCTCACTCCTGTCCCCAGGGCTCAATTTCCTGTGGGAACGAGGGAGACAGGGATGGGGACCTCGTAGGCACTCAGGGCGGTGGTGTCGGCCCAGAGCGTTGCCGTCGTCCTGGGAGCCAAGCTGCAGAGACGAGGGGCGACCGAGGTCCTTGTGAGGTGGGGACCTGCCTGAGGGCTGAGAGGGGCGGGTTGCGAAGGGCCAAGTGGGCGGAGACCTGGGCCAGGACCTGGAGGGGAAGGGGCTCGGGCAGGGGTTCCGGAAGCCCATGTGCTGAGCCCTGCGGGTCCCCAGGGAGCCCAGCCATGGCCGTCCTCCACGCTGCGATGTTCCAGAAACATCTGTTCACCGACCCGTCAGCAAAGACTCGAATCCGCATCCACTGTGCGTGCTGGGCACCACCACCTCTTCAAACCCGCAGGCCGCACCCACCTTCACTCAGGTTCGTCCCGCGTACAGTGCCTGCAGGTGAAATGGTACCACAGTCAAGCTGCTCACATACTCACCGCCCCAGCTATTTGTTCATGTGTCCAAGAACATTTAAAATTTTTCTCTAACCACTGAGTCCCACCGGCCAGGGTGACATTTTAACATCAAGCAATGACAAGCAGGGACCTCTGAAATGGAAACAAATGAGGTGAGCCCCTCAAAGACTCCAGCTTTGCCCTGGCTAGCTCTCAGTGGTTAGGGCGCCAGCCCACAGGCTGAAGGGTTAAGGGCATGTGCCTCAGTTGCAGGTTCGATCCCCAGCCCCGCTCGGCGGGTGGGAGGGAGGCAACCAAGAGATGTGTCCCTCTCACATCCATCTCTCTCTCCCCGACTCTGTCCCTTCCTTCCTCTCTCAAAAAAAAAAAAAAAAATCAATGGAAGAATATCCTCCGGTGAGGACTTTAAAAAATTCCAGCCCGGCCAGCGCGGCTCAGTGGTTGAGCATCACCCTATGAACCAGGAGGTCGCGGTCCCCATAGCGGCGTGCAGGGGGCAGGCGATGGGTGATTCTCATCACTGATGCTTCTCTCCCTTCCTCTCTGAAATCAATAAAAACATATTAATAATAAAAATACTCCAGCTGCTCCCTGGAGCGTTTCCAGGCTGTGGCCCAGAGAGGGTGACCAGGTGGAGCCCAGCAGCCCCTCAAGTTGTGATGGGCTTGGGTTCAAGGAGCAAAAGCGACTGCAGCGTGCAGGCTAGAGTCTCGGGTGGGAGCCTTGGGGACCGCGCCCCAGATCCGCAGCGGGGAGGGGTCCTGTGGTCTCTGTCTGAGTCCTGGGACCTGCGTCTGGGGGAACCGTGGAGCCAAGGAGCCCCTGGGGAGGCTTAGAACAAGTGTCAGCACCCCGCCGGGACCCAGAAGGGGAAGGTCATGGTTTGTGGGCGTTGAGTCCAGTGCTCCACAGGTTGCCTCAGAAACCCCCCGAATGGGGCTGAGACCTAAAGCGGCTCTAATCTCCCCCAAAAGCTTAAAATCAAGACCTGGAGGAATCAGATTGTTTCCAGACAACGTAACGCACCCAGAGCAGAGCCGGAGGAGAGGTGGAGGGCGCAGGGGACGCCAGCGTCGATCATGTAAGGTTGGCGACGCTCTACGGCCAATAGAAAAACCAGCAGCACGCAGAAAGGCAGGAAAACGGCGGCCCGTGATCATGTTAATCCACCAAAACCAACCCAGAAAACAGCAGTCGTTACTAGAAAAGCCCATGAAAGCACCGTAAGTTTATTTTTTATTTTTTAAACATATTTTTATGGATTTCAGAGAGGGAGAGAGAGAAACACCAATGATGAGAGAGAATCATGGGTCAGCTGACTCCTGCACACCCCACACTGGGCATTGAGCCTGCAACCCCGGCCTGTGCCCCGACCGGGAATCCAGCCATGACCTGGTTCATAGGTCGATGCTCAACCACGGAGCACGCTGTCTGGGCCACTTGTTTTACCCACGTGACCGAGCACCTGCCCGGCCTGCCCAGGGCACAGGCTCCTGCCCTGGGGACTCTCAGGCGTGATTCCAAGTACCTACTGTCCCCTGAAGTGGACCCTCCGTGGTGCGGGGACCCCACCCGCCCTATTCGCTGCCTCTGCCCTAACAGGGTCCTCACCGACGGGGTGACTCCCGCACGAGCCACACGGGGGCGCTCACGCTCCATGCTGGTGGCCACGGGCTTGCTGGTTGGCGTCTGTACACACTCCCGTTGTCACCCCCTCAGTTCACCTCCAAAAGGGGTCACGCACCTGACGCGATCCCTTGAGTAATAGACATCTGCTCCGTTTTAAAAAAGAGATTTGTATTCATTTCAGAGAGGAAGGGAGAGGGAGGGATAGAAACATCAGCGATGAGAGAGAATCACCGACCGGCTGCCTCCTGCACACCCCCCACGGGATGGAGCCCGCAACCCGGGCCTGTGCCCTGATGCAATCGAACCCCAACCTGGTTCATAGGCCGACGCTCTATCCGCGGAGCCACGCCGGCCGGGCTAAAGCCGCTCTTATTCATGAGTGTGGCCTGTCCTGCATGTGACGAACGCAGCCTTGCCCAGCACGAGCACAGGCCACGGGGCCACGGGAACGAGCTGGCACTGGGATCCCCACACGAGGGCAGCAGAGCGGAGGGCGGAAGCCGCCGGGCAGGGGTTGCCATGGAATTCCAACACCGTTTGCAGAGAGCCCGGGGGAAGCGGGACCCCACAGACAGCCATCGGCACCGTGTCGTTTCAGGGGACGGTGGCACCGTGGGAGGGGACCTGCCTCCACCTGGGGCCTCACGGGGCCGGACGGCGGTCCGCGGGCTGCCCTGTGCAGCGT